TATTTGCAGTGTTTTTCAAGCAAAAATTTTGTTCATATTTTTTATGAAAATATGGTCCATGCCTTAACCCAAGCACACTTTTAAACTTTAAACAAAATTTAGAAAAATTCCACAAAATTGTATTTAAATTTCGAGCTTTTTAACCAGAATTTTTATAGATATTTTGGGTATGCAGTTAACAGACTTGTAAAATTTTAGTGCAAGTAAATAAGTGCAAGTTTTGGGTATTGATTTTTGATAATTTGTTTGCTGACGGCTTTTGCAGTTTTTTTTTCAAATAAACAGCGAAATTTCGGAAAACTGGCTTTGACTTATTTATTTATTTATTTATTTTTTCGAAAATGGTCTTGCTCATACTCTTCCACACGAAATTCATGTTTATATGGAAGAAAGCGTTGTAAAAGAGCAAAACGCCGTCAAAAAAAAAAAAAATATATATATTAAAAATCAATGCGATTTTTTAGCCGCTCAAAACTTGCACTTATTTTACCAAAATTTTGTAAGCCTGTTAACTGCACACGCAAAAAATGTATAAAAATTCAGATTAAAAAGCGCGAAATGTAGATAAAAATTTGTGGAATTTTTCTAAATTCTGTTTAAAGTTTGAAAGTGTGTTTCATATTGGTTTTGTTAAAGCATGAACCATATTTTTATAAAAAAATAAAAACAAAATTTTGCTTGAAAAACATTGTAAATATTTATGAAAAACGAAACACCATTCATCCACTTTGACCGCCACTGTACACATGTATATGCAAATCCTTTACGCTCGTTTCGCATTTTGCAATATACAGACAACATTATTTAAACGCTTTCGATTTTTCATTGCAGGTCAACGCACGAGTCCCATTAGCCCAAGTGGTTTATCGTCTGGAATTGATACACAAGTTTATGGCGATTCGATATTGATGTCACCGCAGCAACGCGTAAATCGTCGATATTTATAGATGACTAGTATTTAATTTATTTTGAATATGCGCAACTCATTTGGCGCAATTTATTTTATTACTAATATTCGTTGGAGTCAAATTTTGTTGTGTATGTTTTTTTTTTGATGATTTTGTATTATATTTGTTTCTATGTAAGCATTATTTGCAGTGGCATGATTTTAGGCGCGTGTCCTGTTTTCGTTTGAGAAGATTTTTATAATTTTTTGTTTAATTATTTGACATTTAATTTTGCCGACTAATTTTTGATGTGAAATATTATTTTTCTGTTTTTTAATTTATTATTTTCTTAGTAAATGTCAGGAATAGCATTTGACGTCATATCATCAAATGTCAAAGCCCATCGTACAGTCTTATAAATAAAAACGCTATCAGCTGATTGTCAAAAAATCGCTCCCTCGGCAAAAGAGCTACGCTACTTATAGCACTGTACGTTGGTCTAAGCTTCAGCGAATTCATATAAGGTGGTGTAGTTAAACAGCTGATTTGCTTTGCCATGGCACACAAATGTCAAAAGTTTATATTTCGCCATAGTGAGTATATGAGATTATTTCTATTATCTTTTCCTTCTCTTTCTTCAGAGATGAATAGTTGAAATTTGACATTTGTATACCAAAAGCAAATTCAAAATGTTTTTATGTCTATGTTTGTGTTTATTACCTTATATGAATTTGCCGTGATTTAACTCATAGAAAGCGCCAATATTTCCTTTATTTTAGAATTTGGTGTAAAGGGAATCTAAACCTTTCAAAATTTATAAATTGCTATTCATGTTTAGTCAAAAAATAAATTTGTAATTAAACTATTAGTATGTATGTAGTATGTATTATATGTTAGTAATGGTAACTTAAAATAAGGTATGAATTATGTCTTTAAATATATGTAAGTATGTAGTAAATTAGGTTAATATTATTGACTTGAAGAAAATGTTTAGTTTTGTTTATATCCTAATTTGTTCAACGTTTTTTGTTTTTAATATTGACTTATAACTGAAGGAAAAAAATTAAGTATCTAACTCTAAATAAGTTCACAAATATGTTTCCTCACACAAGTTTCGAATTACCTATTTATGGACTCTCTGTTTAAAATTTTTGAATTTTCATAGAAAAATATTATGCTTTAAAATAAATAAAACGGAAATTAATTCAAACAAAAAGTTAGTTTCGTTAGCTTGTAGGTTTTATAATCGATTGAGGTCTTGTAAATTTACTGCTTGGCAGGTAAAAAGCGCTAAGTTGACTTCAAATTATTTATACAAAGTCGACAGAGTTAGTATTAACCTCCCACTGCCAGTCTTTTAAGCGCTTTATATAGCTGGATTATACAGTTTTTGTTTGTAATATTCGCAATGTTTTTGACGCTATAACCCAAACCATACAAATCAGTTTCATACTGCTTACAAAAATCAGAATAAATTAAAATTTTTTGTTCAATTTCGAACTTCTATCAAAATTTCGATCTTCGATCGCTTTCGAACTTTTTCCTGGATTTTTAGCTTTTCGAAAAAATTTGACTTTTTTCAAAATTTTGAATTCTTTCAAAATTCTCGAACAAGAGCTCACAAGATGATTTTTCGTTTGTAGTATTCACAATGGTTTTCACGCTTTAACCAAAATCATAGAAATCAAAGTTTCAAGTTTTATACTTAATTTAGAAAAAATTAATTTTTTTTGTTAAATTTCGAACTGTTTTTTTCAAATCTCGAACATTAATCAAAATTTCGATTTTTTACTTGATTTTTTTCTTAATTTTGAACCTATTCAAAATTGTGAACTTTTTAAAAATTTCAAACTTCCAAAATGTACGTAGATTTTTTTCAAGTTTTGGGCTTTTTAAAAACTTTACGAATTTTTTAAATGTGAATTTTTAAATAGAAATAATTTGGGTATTTAAGTTTTATATGATTTTTTTGTATTATAATGTGGTAAATACTGGAAAACACGAATGGCAAAGCAAATTAGAGAAAAATAACACTTCCAGTATAGAAGGACGGGAATATTCGATAACGGGAGCTTTCGATAGGAACCTTCTACTTAGAGTTCCCAAAAAAGCAAAGCGACGCGGGTATATAAAGACGTTGCTACAGCGCACAAAAAA